TCTGAGTAACACACTTTGCAGGAGTGGGAGCAGTTAGATGAGAAAGACAGGCCTCACTGACTCCGATATCAGCCAGATCAGACAGTGAGTAGCAGAACGAGCTGGGAAAGCAGGACAAGAAAGTAATTCTGGCTGAAGGCATCAGAGAAGATTTTCTGGAAGTGGGAGCTTAGCAAGGTTTAGAAGGAAGGATTACAGGACATGGAATTATCTGTACTACCTTAGAAAGGTAACCTACAGGCAGTCGTTTGAGAAGAACAAGGGGACAGTGCGTGATTTAAAATCAGGAAAGGTGTGTGTTAAGGTTGTATCCTTTCACCATATGTATTTAATCTGTAAACTAAGCAAAAAATCCAAAAGCTTAACTACATGAAGGAGGATGTGGCATCAGGATTAATGACTTTGAATTATGGTGTTGGTAAAGAATATTAAATATACCATGGACTGCCAAAAGAACAAACATATTTGTCTTAGAAGAAGTACAGCTAGAATGTTCCTTTCAAAGGAGAATGGTGAGACTTTTTCTCACATACTTTGAACATGTTATCGGGACAGACTAGTCCCTGGAGAAGGACATCATAGTTGGTAGAGGGTGAGTAAAAAAGAGGAAGACCGTCAATGAGATGGATTGACACAGTGGCTGCAACGACGGGTTCAAACAGCAATGATTGCAAGCATGGCACAGGACCGGGCAGTGTTTTGTTCTGTTGTACCTGGCACACTGTGGGACTTAATAAATATCCTTTCCCTTCCCCTTTTTCTAGTTAGAACAGGAATAGACACCAGGAAAGGATACTCCAGGACAAAGAGAAATACTTGCCAATCAACAGAAAAAGGCCTTTTAGGGTAATGGAGCATTGATCAGAGCTAAAAGGGCACCCCCGGAGCCTAGAATCTAGCAAATCCAGGCAGGTCTGGATTCATGTCTCAGCCTACATCTCTCCCCACACGAGATGTGTAACACCCATTCTGGATAAACATCACATCATCATAGTGCATTTAATAGATAAGGAAATGGAAACCCACTCCACCCAGGAAAGACAGGTCTGTGTCTGTCTTCTAAAACTCCAGGAGGATGGAACAGGACCTAGTACTAGCAAAGTATTGAGTCCAGCTGCCCATGACATTTTAATTAGTCCAACCTTAAAAGTCTATAGCCACAGGAGATTAAAAGGAGGCCCCAGGGAAAGCCTCTGCCCTTCACACAGCCCAACCAATTAGATCTGCTCAAGTGCCCTACTTTTCATCTCAGAATTCTTTGGGGAATCAGGCCTCACTAAGCTCTGCCTTTTGGCTCAAAGTACAGGCACAGGCTCGCTCAGGAAGACAGTTGGGTGTGGGCTACAGGAAATGCAACATCAAGTATGCCCTGAGGCCCTGACACCCTTCTCACATCACTCAAATGAGCTGATAGAATCGCCCTCTAGCCAGGCTCCTCTAGCCAGGCTCCGTCCTCCACTCTTGCAGTGACCCATTCTCCCAGTTAGAGCTATGCCCTAACCTAACTCACTAAAACCAAACCGGTTGCTATCCAGTCTATATGGACACACAGAGACCCTATTGTTGTCGTTGTTATGGGCCACCAACTCAGCTCCAACTCAAAGCAACCTTATGTAAAACTAGACAAAACAACGCTCGCCCTGCACCATCCTCACAATCCTTGCTGTGCTTGAGCCCACTGTTGCAGCCACTGTGTAATCCATCTCACTGAGGGTCTTCCCTTTTTTGTTGACCCTCTACTTTACCAACCATAATATCCTTGCTCAGGGACTGTAGGACAGAGTAAAACTTCTATGTAGTTTCCAAGGCTGGAATCTTTACAGAAGCAGACTGCCACATCTTTCTCCCACTGAGGGACTGGTGGGTTGGAACTGCTGATATTCTGGTCAGCAATCAAGCACCATCAGGGCTTCTTATCCCCTAACCTACTCCATACTGAAAGCTAGCAAAGGCATTCACTGATCTTGAGTTCAGGGGCAATCTCAACCCAGAAATACTTGCATTTTTAAGGAGGGCTCTCAGAAAGGGAAGTGACTTCAAAACCCAAGGGAATAAAGTTATAATGATAAACAAAGAGACAGATAGGAAAACTGAGGCCCAAAGGCCTAAAGAGATTTATTCAAGTTAATGACAAGATGTTGCACTCAAACGCCGATCAACTTAACACTTCCCCAAGGGCTCAGACCCTCTTTCTTGTAACTGTACCAGGCATTATGCCAACATAGCTACACTTTTCCTGCTGCCATTAAGAGTTAAAAAGCAAGGTTATACGGAAGTGTGAAAGAGCTGAGAATCTAGGAGACATAAAGAGTAGTAAAGAGAGGGGATGAACTAAGGAATCCTATAGAATAGATTATCAGACAAGTCAGAGGAATGAAACTGATAATAAATCACTCACATTTCTATAAGACCAAAGGCTTGTCATGTCATTTCATAAGATATGCAACCTTGTGAGTTAGGTTCTGTTTTCCCCACAATACATGGCATGGGGAAACTAAGGCCCAGGAAGGCCAAGGGCATCAGAACCCACACTAAACTATATTTACCTAATTCCTATCTAGTGTTCTTTTTATTAAACTAGATATACCTTAAAGTAAGCTGTGAAGACTCGGGAAAAACCAAACCAAGAAGAGAGAAAAAAAAAAGTTTCAAGGGAAATACATGGAAAGAAAATGCTTACAGACAAAGCTGAAAGCCAGTAAGTAGCTATTTTATTAACCAGAAAATCTTCCAGCACTCCCTCTTCATTCTCAGAGAGTGCATGACCAGACATCAGACAAGACGGCCCAGTGTCTGGCTTGCTCCCTCGACAGAGAACAGAGAACAGACACAGACCACACCCTGCCACCTGACAATATACCTATTTGAGCAGCCTTCTCCCATTCTCAAGAGGACGCAGGAACATGGTACTAAACCACAGAAGGCCTCGAAGCACCAGCTTTGACTAGCCGTTCCATCCCACTACTTCTGTCTCAAGCCTGGGCTTAGCTACCCTAGTCTAGTAAAAGGTTTCCCCCACCCCAAGCACAGACTAAAGTTAGCCCTCGCTCAGCCCAACTGGAGCCACCTGGGAGACCCTGGGAGAAAGGAATATTAATCATCTGCTCTCAGGTCAGGAGCAGTTGAAGGGTATGGTCACTTAGTGTTCCTTCAGCAACTTCATTTCCTGCAAGAAAATTGGAAATATGTGACCATGGGAAATCTGGGCATGTTCTCAGGCCGGAAAACCCCAACTGTAGGTCAAATGAGTAGCCGAGACAGCCTATGAAGTGAAGGAAGACTTTCCACAGAAAACTGTGAGTTTGAGTGTGCTCTTCTTTGGCCAAAACCCTAACTATATACTATATTGGCTCCAACCAGTAATTATCATTCTTGGAATAATACCTTCACACTGGCACAGCACTTAAGAGTTTTACAAAGTAACTTCACCTACATTGCCTCCATATTTTTTTGCCTAAAATACCTGAAGACCTACTAAGTTGCTACCTCCTCCAAAAAGCTTCGCCGATCTCTCCAGGCAGAGGTGATCTCACCTTCCAACAGCGCTGTTGTTATCCATAGGGCAATGAACGTAGTAGATTGCTTTGTACAACAGTCTTCTGTTGTGAGGATTTTAAATAAGATCATGTATATGTGAATTTATCTGGCATAGTCGGGGCCAACTCGACGGCACATAACAACAACAACAACAACAAGTCCTGGCTTTACAGCAGGTGCTCAATAAATAGGAGCTCTTAAAGATTAAAAAAAAAAAAAAAAAATAGAAGACTCATTACCAACCTGCAATATGCAGACAACACAACTTTGCTTGCTGAAAGTGAGGATAACTTGAAACAATTACTGGTGAAAATTAAAGACTACAGTTTGCAGTATGGATTACATCTCAACATAAAGAAAAGGTAAATCCTCACAACTGGACCAATAAGCAGCATCATGATAAATGGAGAAGAGACTTAAGTTGTCAAAGATTTCATATTACTTGGTTCCACAATCAACACCAATGGAAGCAGCAGTCCACACATCAGACAACATATTGCATTGGGCAAATCTGCTGCAAAAGTCCTCTTTTGAGTGCTGAAGAGCAAAGATATCTCTTTGAAGACTAAGGTGCACCTAACCCAAGTCCTGATATTTTCAATCGCCTCATATGCATGTGAGAGTTGGACAATGAATAAAGAAGACTGAAGAAGAGTTGATGCTTTTGAGTTGTGAGGATGGCAGAGAATACTGAAAGTACCATGGACTGCCAGAAGAACAAACAAATCTGTCCTGGAAGAAATGCAGCTGGAATGCCTTGGAAGTGAGAATGGCCAGACTTCATCTCACTTACTTTGGTCATGTTGTCAGAAGGCACCATTCCCTGGAGAAGAATATCATGCTTGGTAAAGGGGAGGGTCAACGAAAAAGGGGAAGGCCCTCAATGAGGTGAATTGACACAGTGGCTGCAATGATGGGCTCAGGTGTAGCTTGTGAGGCTGGTGCAGGACTAGACAGTGTTTCGTTCTGCTGTACATAGGATCACTATGAGTCAGAGACAACTCAATGGCACCTAATAGCAACAACATGGTAAAAACGTGGGTGTACATCTTAACTTTTATTATAGCGAATGCTTCTACTAAACAGAGATTGTCATATAACATAAAACCAAAAACCAAATCAACTGCCATTGAGCAGATTCCAACTCATAGTGATCCTATAGGGTAGAACAACTACCCAGTAGGGTTTCCAAGGCTGTAAGTCTTCACAGAAGCAGATTACCCTTTCTCCTACAGAGCAGCTGGTGGGTTCAAACCACTGACCTTTTTGTTATCAGTCGAATGCTTTAACCACTACACTACCAGAGCTCCTTAACATATCACATACATAAACCAAAACCAAAACCCACTGCCATCAAGTTGTTTCCAACTCGTAGCAACCCTATAGGACAGAGTGGAACTGCCTCTTACAGCTTCCAAGGTTATAAATCTTTGCAGAAGCAGACCGCCCCATCTTTTCTTCCATGGAGCAGCTGGTGGATTTGAACCACCGACCTTTTGGTTAGGAGCCAAATGCCTTAACCACTAGGCCACCAACGCTTCTATAACATACATTTTTTTTTTTTTTTTCTCCATAAACATTCTTTTTTTTTTAGGATTTGGGTGAAGATGTACAGAGTAAATTCACTTTTCATACAACAGTTCACATATACTTTGTCTCATGTCATTGACCAAAATTTACAATGCAGCAGCTCCCCTCCCAATTCCTCCCCATAGTTACCTCCTCCCAGTGTCCATCCCTTCATACTCTTCTGCACCCTGAGCTATCTCCCTGTGCATAAGCAGCCCTTCCTTCTCCCATCATTGTTCTCTCCAGGGTGTGTGTCTACTTGAGGTAAATGTTTAACTCACATGCCTATACTTTGTTTGGCTGGAAACCACAGTTGTGGGTTCAATTCCAGACCTGAAGGGCAGCTAGGGGCCATAGTCTCAGTGGTTACACCAGGCTCCATTGGACCAGCAAACCTGGTCCCCACTTTCTTTTTTTTTTTTGCCTCCAAATGATTTTGAGTTTTGTACCACATTGTTCTCCCTCTTTATGCAGGATCTCCTACATCCCTTCCAAGTGGATGGCAGTGGTAGCTGGGCACCATCTAGTTCTTCTGGTCTCATAGTTGTATAGGTTGCAGATCAGATGGTGTACCAGTCGCTAGGACTGATTGTTTCCATTAGTTTTGGTTTTCTTCTTTCTTCTTGACGAGGAGAACCCATTGTTGCATCTAGATGGCAGCTTGCTAGCTTTTAAGGTCCCAGTCGCTACTCGCCAAAGTAGTAGGTGGAACAATGTTTTGTATAGTATGTTATGCCAATTGAGTTTGATGTCCCCTGCGACTATGGTCCCAAGCCCGCAGGATCAACTACTCGGTCCCTCTGGGTAGCTGGCTGTGACCAAGTAATGACCATAACCTTGCCCCTTGTCAGCTCTACTATACACCTGGGAATTCTGATCATTCACATGAACTTATAGGCCCATTGTCTGCCAACCCTGTATATGATCTTGTATAACATACATTTAAAAAAAAAACCTACTATTGAGTCAATTCCAACTCATAGTGACCCCCATGGGGTTTCTGAGGCAGTAAATCTTTACAGAAGTAGATTGCCCAGTCTTCCTTCCACAGAGTGGCTGGTGGGTTTGAACTACCAACCTTCTGGTTAGCAGTCAGATGCCTTAGGCAGTGTGCCACCAGACCTCTTTACAACATACATAGTGAATGTTGAATAAAGAGATAAAGAACACTAATAGAAACAGACCCTATCCTAAGGATTAAATCTAGAATAGCTAACCAGAATGTTACTTTTGGAAGATACAAACTAAACACTCACCACTCTGTGTAGCCAGACATTTCACCAATGCAATATTACCCATTCATAATTCACAAGTGACATTTAGAGCCTCTTTTTCCTCTCCCCACTCCCTAACTCCTAATCTCAGTTTCTTCCAGGCCATTCAGGTAATAAAACAAACTAGTGCCACTAACAGTCCTATAAAATGTACAATTTTTAACCAAAATGGATATCTCTACTTAAAGTCAGAGAGCTGTTTCTTTCCCTTCCCACAAGTTATTAAACAAAAATAGAAACAGTATTGACCTTGGGGTCAGACAGACCTGAGTTTAAATCCTAACTTAGCCACAAAAAGTTTTGTGACCTTGGAAAAATTACATAAATTCTTGGAGTTAAGTTTCCTCATGTGTAAATGAGAATGGTATGTACCTTTAAGGGTTGCTGTGCAGATGTAAAGCACTCAGCCCAGTGCTTACAACATAACAGGTGTTCAATAAATGGTAGCTGCCATCATTAGTCTTATTATTGAAGTTATTTGTGTTGTCTTATATATATTTATCTCTTCAGAGATATGAAGTGTGAGTCCTAGTAACCTTTGCCCTTGTCAAAAAAAGTTCTTAAAATAAGGCAGCCACCTAGTCAACAACACAGACACACATTGCTTTCTAATCTGGGTATGTATCATACCTGAAGGGCACTTGTGGTGGTTAAAAGTCTGTGTGTCAACTTGGCTGGGCCTGGTTGAGTGGCTGGGCAGCTGGATGTAGTATTCCCCATGATGAGACTGGCAATCAACTCCATGATGGGATCTACTGTGAGCAGCTGAGTAGCTGCCTTTGGGTATGTGGTCTGCTTCCTGTATATAAGAAACAGCTTTGGGAATAGTCCTCTAGCTTATGGCATGCTTGAACCCTGCATGTAGTTGAGTCGTTGTTCAGCAGTCTCCATGTTCTGCGGACCTTGGGATTTACAACGGACTTGAATGAATGGCCTGCCGTGTGGTTTGGTAACATCGTAACTGTGCCTTTCTACTTGTCAACTTTGGGCTTGTCAGCCTCAGCTGCCAGCAGCTGTCTGAGTGAAGAAAAGCCAGTGGGCTGGAAGCAGGAGGCAGAGCTGAAGCCCAAGGCTGAGGGGCTTTCACCCAGCCCCTACAGCCTGGCACTTTGAACTTGGACTTAAAGCCTCCAAATTATAAGAATAAACTCCTGTTTGTTAAAGTCATCACATTTGTGGTATATTCCTGTCAGAGTGGCACTAGGTAACCAGAACAGCACTCCTCCCTCCTGAGGCCGCCAATACGTTTCAGAAGGTGGCTCTGGGAACTTGGCAAACACAGACACATTCATTTTAACATACACTGTAGTGGTGAGAGTTCTAAGAGCTTCCTAAGAGGCCTGAGATAACCCAGAGAGACCAAACTGAAGCAGAACTACTGACTTCACACTAGAGAAGATTATAAGCACGTAAGATTAGGAAGCCTGCCCACCTGCCAGTCAGATCATCAGCTAGGCCAGAGCTCAGCGTAAGATAGCCAGGAGCTGTGTAAGTGTGGTTCACAGAGGAAAGGGACAGGTTTGTCCTAGCTGGGCCTTGCTGACAGCACAGCTCTTATGCCTGAGCCCCTCTACAAAGTCTCCCTAAAGGCCGCTCCTCAATGCCTTGAAGGAAAGTGGGAGTGAACTCTGCTCAGGCTGAAGTTCTCTGTGGCCTGGGGAGTTCTCAGCATCAGAGATAACATTTAAAAAGTCAGTGATGTTCACAGTGTTATCCCACCCCCTTGCTGCACAACAAGCCCAGCAGTGGGAACCATGAAAGGAGGTTCCCTCCTCCATCCCACGAGCCAGGCTAAGAAATGCAATTGAAATTCATTCTGTTCACTCTGCTGTCTCAAGTTTGACCTGAGGTAAACCCATCTAGGTTGTGGAACCAAAGACAAAGTGAATCCTACAGAATAGATTATCAGACAAGTCAGAGGAATAAAATTGAGCAGCAGGACCCAAGGCCTACAGGTCCCCCGCTGGCCCTCTGCGAGCACAGCCCTACTCCACTCCCACTGCAGCCAACTGCTCAAGACAGCCACTGCTGTGGCAAACAAGAACTGCCAGCCAGAGACAAGGGCCAAGCCGTTCCTCAGCGTGACTTCTAACAGTCACTGAGCACAGCTTCAACAGGTGTTCAGTAAGTAGGGATGAGGTACTAAGTCAGGCAGAAAAAGTGCCCACAGAATGTCTCAGAAAACCCACCACGTGAACTTTACCCCCAATCCCAGGGCATACTTGTCTAAGCTTTTCACAGGAACTGATGTCTATTCACTTGGCTCCCCCTCCTGCCCCACCCTGCCTCCCCAACTATTCAATTCAAAGATCAACTCATTGTTATCCATTCATTTATTCAACAAATACCTATGGGGTGCTGTCTAACCAGTGCTGTGATAGATACTGAAAATAAACACTATGGTCAGCAAAACAGACACAGTTCTTGACCTCAAGAGAGAGAAGAAAAGGAGGAGAAAAAAATGCTTTAAAATGTTTACAATGCTTTCACACACATTAATTATTTTAACCTCATTTTTTCAAGTGAGGAAACCAAAGCTGAAGTCATACTCTTGATAAAGACTCAAGCCAGCAGTAACCAGTGCTTCTCATACAACGTCAAGCTGCCTCTTGCCATAAGAGGCATAAACAAAGTGTGAATTACACAATGACTGCTACAGACAGAAAGTGCTACAGAGTCTGACCAGAGACAAGAGGGATCTCATGGCTAACATTAGTATCAGGGAAGACATCACAGAGAACTGAGAGACTGGATAGGAAGAAAGGAGAAGAAGGGAAGATATTCTAGAAGAAGAGTAACATGACATGAGGCAAAAGGCAAAGGAGACACAGTGTAAGGTATGCTCTGGGGACTAGGGCAAAACAAAAAAGCCCAGCTGGGCCAAGAATGCAGAGATGGAAGCAGAAGGAGACAAAGCGGGCAAGTGGTGGAGGCCAGGACCCAGGGTAGGAAAAGCAACCACCACCCATAGAGGGATGTTAGAGTCTGTGTCTTCTCTATTTCAAGCTCCCCGGCGGGGGGTGGGACGGGTACAGTGTTGTTAGATTATTTCAGGGTTCTCCTTGTACGGCTTCTCACACAAAATAAATCTGCTCCACTCTGATAACGTGACAGGAGTACAGCCATCCCTATCCCAGTATTTCCTGCCCTAGCAAGTTGTACCAACACAACCAAGGCTTTATCAAATTCTCTGCCCAGAAAGTTTCCCCCTGGCGCTTCCCAGGTGGCCACAAGCAACCCCAAAAGGTTTTAGATGCATTTCCTCTGCTGGTGTAGGCACCACATCCACCATGCAACCGGCAAACCAAACAACAGTGAGTCATGCAATATAATGCACTAACCCACCTCTTTCAAGAAACTTCCTCTGTACAACCCAGCACACAGAGATCTCCTTGTGCACTGAGAATGTCGAGAAAGTGATAAAGAGTGCAGATATTAGTCACCATATTCTACAGATGTTACTGGCCCTCTTTTTCCATACCTATATAAAAGTTCCCTAGCAGGCCTCAACATTTCTCAGAAGTACCAACTGACACTGACTTTGTATACCCTGAATTTTGTCCAGCCCAATTTCTGTGACCATAATTCAACAGTGTGTACTGCTTTCTGGTTCTCCACTGTAGAGGTCCAAAATTCCCTAACATTCCAAACTGGCTACGTTAAGGTTATGAGGCTCCACAACAGACTAGGATCAA